CTTCACTCGGAAAGGGTCAACTCGAGACTTACACTGGACTGCATAAAAACCCTATAATTGCTCAGTGTGCTCAACAAGGTTAACCTTATCTGGGTACCGGGTCATCGAGGCATCAAAGGCAACGAGGAAGCAGACCAGCTGGCTCGTGAGGGCAGTAACACGGCCTTCTTGGGGCCATAACCTGTCATAGGGGTCGCCTCCTGTCTGGTAAAAACCAAGATCAGGAACTGGACTAACGACCAGTTCCAGAACAAATGGCGTGAACAATAAGGCCTCAGGCAGTCAAGGGTCTTTATAAAGAGTCCTACTACCTGCAAAGAGGCTAAAAGAGTCCTGAAACTTAACAGGAACCAGTTAAGAGCCATCACAGGAGTCCTAACAGGATGCTGGGTAGTCAAATACCATCTACACAAAACCGGACTCAGCAACGAGACGGATTGTAGGTACTGCAGCGAAGTAGACGAAACTACCGAGCATATAGTCTGCGAATGCGACGCTCTAGTTAATAGTAGACTAAGACACCTAGGGGACAGATATTTGGAACCAGAGGAAATAATGCATGCCCGACCAGAGCGGGTCTGCGCTTTTCTTAAAAGCTGCGGGCTCGTAAGGTAAGGCAGGGCTTTACCAAAAGGGGGTTTGCACAATGGGCTGTATGTGGTGTATATAATTATAATAAAATAATCCATGAAGATTTTTTCGAATAAAAATTGACGGGTTTCTAGGTTTTCTTGTTTTCTCTTATATAATAATACACGCCAAACCTTTTCATTCAAAAAAAAAATATTATTTTCTTTATATAATACACATTTTATTTCTTGGGAAGTTGCAAAACAACCATTTTTGGTTAGGTACTTCCCGGGAAATTGATGTGTATATTGGTATTTAATATAATTGGTATTAGTATATACTAATTTGTGAGTATGTATTATACGAGGTTTGTTGAGAAAGTAACGGGAATTTTCTTTTTTTGAAAAAGATATTTATTTATTCGTCTACATTAAAGTTGTCGCTTTCAAAATAGTCCCCATTAGATATTATGCACTTGTGCCAGCGCTTCTTATAATCCTCTAAACTCTTCTCAAACACGATCTTTGGGATCAGCGATGCGCTTTTAATGTCATTTATGCTTGCAAAACGAGGACCCTTTAAGGTTCTCTTTATTTTGGGGAATAGGAAAAAGTCAGACGGAGCCATGTCTGGCGAATATGTAGGCTGGGGCATCATAACATTATTGTTTTTGGCAAAAAATTGTGTTTAAAATTCAACAATTTTGGAACAAATTTTACTGCCACGCGTTTCATACCCAAAACAATCGATATGCCAACATCATCAGCAACTTCTCTGATTGTGATTTGGTGATCGTTCATAACCATTTCTTCCACTTTTTCCATGTTTTTATAGGTTGTTAATGTGCTTAGGCGTCCGGGGCGTTCGTCATCTTCAACGTCTTTACGGCCATCTTGGAAACTCTTATATCACTTATTGTTTTACTCATAGCAGACTCACCATAGGCCTTTGTTAACATTTCACACACTTTATTTGATATAAATTATTTGATCCATTTCTTTTAACGAACGAGCTCATAAAACACGTCTAACCTTAGCGGCTGCCACAGACAAAGTTAACAATGAAAACATATAAAATTTGTATCATTCTTCAGGGGTATTTATACCAACCTAATAAAGACAATTTTATGACAACCGGACTCTCCAAACCCGCGAAATTTAAAAATTCCCGTTATTTTCTGAACACACCTCGTATATGTATATAAGTATTGTATCTATGCTTCGAATTAAATGAATTTGAATTTGAACTTTCTTAAAAGGAATTGGTCAAAAATGACTAGTTATCATAGTGAAAAATCAGCCATCAGTCACTGTAGTCCACAGCAGTTTATGTAACAGAGATAAAGCAAAGCCCTTTTATATGGAAAATTGACTATATCTCAAAAACTGTTCTAGGTTTATATTTTCGACGACATTTTTAAATTCAGCGGACAATACTAATTGACTAAAAATGTCCGGTATTCAAATTGCTGTTGACTAGAATTAGTTGACTTTGATTCATCGTCACAGTCAAAGTTGGAAAGATTCCTCTGTACTTGGCCGCTCCACAAGCAATAAAAATCGCGTCATATTACAGAAAAAAATGCTCTTCTCTATATCACAAGACTGTGTAAGAAAAAGTGTGTTCAATTATTTGGTCAGTTTTTATCTAAAAATTACTGTGGCTATGGGCCGCAAAGAAAGACTTGGAGGGCCGCATGCGGCCCGCCTTCTGCAGCTTGAGTATGGCTGCTTTAAATCAGATGGGTATAATTAAACCTACCTTTTATTTTGAATAAGGAAAAAATATATAAAAAAGAGTAAAATAGTTAGAATAAGTTAATTGTTTATTTTTAATAAGGAAAAAATATATAAAAAAGAGTAAAATAGTTAGAATAAGTTAATTGTTTATTACATTCACAGTACCTATACTAAAAAAACCTGTTCGTTTTAATCGCTTTGTAAATTGTTGATGTGTAAACTTCATTATTTATTTTTGTTCGATCATAAATTTTCATAGTTAAATCCTTCAGATGTAATCAATTGACGTTCATCATCTTGGATTTCAACAACGGTCGTGCTTCCAGCAATGTGCAATTCTCTTCTGCAGCAAAATTATTTTGAATAATATTTCAAATTTGAACACCCTGAATAATTTTCAAATTATTGACGATTTCTTGGCCCATATTTGAGTTTCCATGAACGCATTTAGCAAAAGATCTAAGTGTACCCCAACGTCTTACACAAAGCCCAAGAGGTCGCAGCTGGTAAAAATTATGTAATCACCCTGTCACAATATAGTATAGAAGTTTGCCCGCCAACCATTTCTATGCGGCCCGAAGCCTAGCCAAAGTAATTTTTAGAAAAAAAAATATCCACATAATGTAAAGCACTTTTTCTTACACAGTCTTGTATGCAATAATTTTTCTGTAATATGACGAGATTTGTATTGCTAGTGTATTATAAGTTCTCAGCCAACAGCCAACTGACAGTAACGAGTCTAAAACTTCTCGAATCAAAGAACTTTATAATAATAACTTTATAGAATACACGTCGTTAGACGAGACCCTCTATTACGTTTTTGTAAGAAATGGTGGGGATTTAGTCGCGGGGCGCGAGTAGGCCAACACCCGCAAAAAGTTAATTTGTTAATCTTGTGTTAGTATAAAATCCATGGCACTTACAAACCGCAGCTATGAAACAACTTGCATTTAAAAAAGTTATTAAATAAATTTATTGAATTTAAAATCGACTCAAATATGGGAGCAATTATAAAAAGAAGTAAAAATATAGGAAGTATTTTGGAAATTAGTAGGTACCGGGTACCTGGTACCAGATAACTTTAAAACGCGATCCAAGAAAAGGGACCTCCCAAGCTCCAAGAAAAGGGAGCGTCCAAAAAATGATTATTGAGATTGATAATATTTTTAAATAGAGGAGTAATCGATCTTTTGAAAGGTCCAAATGGAATTAACATGGCTATTAATAGTCAAGCGTCACTACAAAAAAGAAAAAAAAAGAAATACAATCCAAAATTATATAAATAACTGCGAAATCTGTCAACTTACCAAGTATGATAGAAACCCATTGAACGTGAAATTTAATATAACACCTACGGCTACAAGGCCCTTTCAAATACTACACATGGATAGTATTTCCCTTGAAAAATGTAAATTTCTAAAAATAATAGACACTTTTTCTAAATATAGCCAAGCATATAAACTTAACTCAGCCAGTATAGAAGTTATAAATAATCTGGTTAAATATTTTACACACCACGCAATTCCGGAACAAATTATCTCGGACAATGGTAGTGAGTTTAACAACGGCATGTTAAAAGAGCTTTTGCAACTCCATAAAATCAAAATTCTCAACATCCCGAATCAAATTCCCCAATTGAGCGTTTCCACTCTACATTAATAGAACATATCAGATTACTAAACAACCAAGACACCTTTAAAAAAAGAACCCATTGAAATAAAAGTTAACTACTCTGTTTTAGCATATAATAATACTATACACACGTCAACTAAATTAAAACCATCAGAAATAATAACGGGACACTTGCGCACAGACTCACCATTTAACCTAGAACTAGAAAAACAACTTTTAAATAATTATATTTTTAATCATAAAGAAAAAACTCAGTTACTCTATAAAAGTATAAAAGAAAATGGGTCAGTCCACGTCAAATCAAACATAATAATAAGAAAAGTTTACCACACCGACTCAGATTTTCCTCAAATTTTGTGCAGATGATACATAGGCTAGGATAACCATAAATGTCAATTTTGAAGGCTCTTTGATAATTAATTGCCGATAAATTAATTATTGAAATTTTAAACATTTCAGCAAGATGTGATTTATGTTTTTTTTATTTTCTTAAACAACTGCCCAAGTTATTTAAGTGACAGTTTGTTTCTAGAGGTAACTTTTAAAGCTGATTTTAAAAAATTAATCAGAATTTGTATATTTTCTATTGTTTTTGCATGAGAAATTGCAATGTTGCATTTGTTAAAAAAATATCATTTTTTTTTTCGGCATGTTTGATCAGGATCACATGTTTTAAATTTTTATGTGTTGTTAAGATGGTATACTACTACTTCCAGAAAAAAAAATCATCCTGGCTTTCCACCTAATAGCTGACAAAAAAATTATTGTACTTTCATGTGACAAAAAACTTAAGTTTAACTTTTATTTCAAGGCCAAGAAATCTTTGACAACTCTGAATTTTTTTTAGATAAGGTTCAAATGACAGATTGACATTTTATTCATTTCAGCTGCGCCGTACAATAATAATGACATTTTCAATATTGTAGATGTGAAGATTTAAACTGCCTGATTGAACTCTTAAAAGAAAAATGTAAAATTTCTTGTGGACAAGAAGTTCTAAAATTAACTCTTGTAACGAGTAGCTGGAACATTCAGAATGAATTTGTAGTCTCAACATACATGGTCAATAAGGCTAGAAAACTTAAAAAGGATTACGGTATTTTGGCAGAACCAGAAAAGCTGAAAGGAAAATCAATTTCCAATAAGGTATCTGAAAAAGTAAGGCAATTCTATGAAGATGATGAATTTTCCAGAATGTGTCCTGGAAAGAAAGAATTTGTGTCAGTCAGAGATTCGAAAACTGGTAAAAGAATTCACATGCAAAAGCTACTGCTTTTTGTAAATTTAAAGGAACTGAATTTGACTTTTCAAGAAAGATATCCGCAGCTAAAAATCGGTTTGTCAAAATTCTCTTCTTTACGACCACCTTGGTGCGTTACAGTCACTGCCTGTGGAGTTCATTCAGTATGTGTTTGCGAGACTCACCAAAACTTGAAGCTACTGACAGCAGCATTATCCAAGAAAATTGAATGCAAAAATATCCTCTCCACTATAGTATGTTCTGTGGACTCAAGAAATTGTATGCTTTACAGATGTGAGAATTGCCCAGGGTCTGAAGCTTTGGAGCAGCTTATGCTGGATATATTTAGTGAAAATGATTTGGAAACTGATGACAATATTGCCTATAAGCAGTGGGTCCACAAAGGACAATCAAAACTAGTGAATATGACATCAACTATTGAAGATTTTGTGAAAGACTTGTCTAAGGCAGCAGATCAAGCAACAACACATCATTTTACTGCAAAATCCCAAGCATCCTACTTAAGAAATCTTAAAGAAAATATTCCAGCTGAAACTGAAGTAATCGTTTTACTAGACCTTGCAGAAAATCATTCTTTTGTTTGCCAAGATGCCATTCAAGGTTTCCATTGGGATACGACACAAGCCGCACTTCACCCATTCGTAATTTACTTCAGGAGTAAAAAACAGACAGATTTAAAATGCTTTAGTATGTGTGTTATTAGTGATGAACATGAAAACATTACCTCCACAGTTCATTACTTTCTTAAAGTAATTATACAACATACAAAATTTACAAAACATTCATTATTTTAGTGACGGTTCAAGTGCACAATATAAAAACTTTATTAATTTATGCTTACATAAAAAAGATTTTAACGTCCGTGCTGAATGGAACTTCTTTGCCACTTCACATGGAAAAAGTCCATGTGATGGAATTGGCGGCACGGTAAAAAGACTTGCAGCTCGTGCAAGTTTGCAGGCCACACTGGACAACCGCATTCTTACTCCTCTTGTTTTATTTAACTGGGCTAATTGTAACATACATAACATAAAGTTTTTCTTTGTGTCCCATGCTGATGTTCAGCAACACGCCAAAAGCTTGGAAGCTCGTTTTCAGAGCGCGAAAACAGTGTCTGGAACTCGCAGTTATCACAGGCTTGTTCCAATAAATAATTCTGAATTGATTCTGTATCGATTGTCGTCAGATGATGCAAATTCAGGATTTAAAGTTAGTCTTACTGTCAGAAAAAAACATGGAAAGAATATAGATATCGACGAATTGCAACCGGGAGTTTATGTAGCTGCAGTATACGATGACAACTGGTTCATTGGCTGTATTAAAGAAAGACATTTTGATGAAACAGACTTGCTTATAAATTTTATGCAGAGACATACCACGGTGCTGTTCTGAGAGGTGATTTTTGGACTTTCTGTGACACCTAATTTTTTTTATATTCTTGTTAATTAGGTCATAACTAAAATTTTAAGAGCAAAAAAAAAATTTGACGGTTTAAATTGTTTTAATTGGCTGTTTATTAAAAATATTATGCACTCTTTCAATTATCCAATTAAAACTAGCGATTTAATTTAAATATTTAATATTTGCGTAACTAAAAAAAAGGTTTTTACATTTTTTTTTATATATTTTACTGTTTTGTTGCAATAAACGTTCAAACTTTTAATCTAACCTTTGACGTATACATTTATGTTCCCTTAATTAATATATCCTGAAAGGTTGCCATGACACTTAGATACTAAAAATTTATTTGATGTTTGAATTGTCATTTTCAGTATACCTACGTATTCTATAATTTTTGTTTAGTTTTTTAAAGTGTTTTTTACAAACAAAAATGAAAAATTGTAGTAAAAGTTACGAAGAAATTCATGAAATTTAACTAAGGACCGGTTTATTCATCTTTAGTAAAGTTTATCGGGCCGATAACTTTCATGTCTTGGCAATATCTAGTATCCAAAGAAATTATTCGTCAAATAAATCAAAAATGAATAAATCGGCCCTAAATAAAATGTGGCACCCTTAGAATTATTGTTTAATAAATGTATACTATACATTTAACCTTAAATTAAAACTTTAAACGTGTATTACAACAAAACAGTAAAAGATATAAAAAATGTATGGACCTTTTTTTAGGAAATTAACTAATCTTTAATCTGATTTAAAAAGTTGATGATAATATTTAAATAAAATCGCAAGTTTTAATTGGAGAATTAAAAGTGTGCATACATATTTTTAATAAACATCCAATTAAAACAAAATTAACCGTCAATTTTTTTTATTTTGCTCTTAAAATTTTAGTTATGAGCTAATTAACAAGAATATAAAAAAAATTAGGTTTCACAGAAAGTCCAAAAATCACCTCTCAGAACAGCACCGTGATACAGACACTATTGTGTTATCCTGGCCATCTAGAGAAGATAGTTGCTTCGTTCCTTTTGAGCACGTGTTGTGTGTGATACCAGCGCTTTCAGTGAAAGGTATCACTGGACGACAATATGTTCTTGATAGCGATATGAGTAAAAGTATTACTCTTTTATTTAATAAGTTCAAATCAGCTGCTAAATAACTTTTTCCTTTAGTTGTGTTATATTTCTATTATGTTTAATATTAGTTGTTTTAAAATATATTATGGTTTCTTAAAAATAGAAAAATGTTTACATTAATGTATTTTTTTATGATTTGAGTTAAACTGTAAGTATAATTATAGCTTTAAAGCTATTGGATATGAAAAAAACCGCCCGGTTTTAGTCCCATGAAAGTTTTAAATTATTTTTTTTCTCAGCTCGGTAGAAAGCCAATATGATTTTCTTTCTAAAAGCAGTATTGTATCATCTAAATAATAAATAAAAAATTTTTTCAAGCAAATGCAACATTGCAATTGATCTTGCTAAAACAATAGAAAAAACACAATTTTTTATTATTTTTTTTTAAATTAGCTTAAAAAGTTACCCCTGGAAACGAACTTTCACTTAAATAACTTGTGCATGTAAGAAGTTATTTAAGAAAATAAGAAAATAAAAATCGCATCTTGCTAAAAATTTTAAAATTACAATAATTAATTTCTCGGTAATTAGTTATCGTAGAACCTTCAAAATTAAGATTTAATGTAATCCTAGCCTATATATCATCTACACAACATTTGAGACCAATCTGAGTCGGTGTGGTGAACAACACTGTTTGATCTGACGTAGACTTTCCCAAAGGCAATTAAATCAAAGGTAAAAGTTATAAATAAAGCAAATAAAAATAGGGAAGATATTCCAAAAGTAATTCCTAAAAAGGTGTTTGTAAAAAATAAGCAGAAACAGTCAAAAACAAAAAATAAATATAAACCAGAAACATTAAAATTCATTAATCGGAACCTAAAAACGGCCAAAATCGACCCAACTCATTTTAACACTATTGATAAAATGTATCTGTCAAATATCAAACGTCCAAAAAACATAGATAAAAATAACTAACAAAATCTATTATTTGCAGGTTGCTCACGTTCGTCCGAGCAGCAGACATCTTCAATATAACAAAAAAATTGGGCATACTACCTATAAGGTTGGGAGCGGCAAAACTTGAACGTTCGTACACTATTACAATTTAGAACCCCTTTACGAACAATATAATAATTTACAAACAATATAATAATTTAAATTTACAATTAAGGTTAAGGTTAAGTTTAATTAGTCATAATAAATCCATGTATAATAGGAAATTAGAAAATTACGATAAAATAATAAAGTTTAAACAAAATAAAATTAAACAAAAAAATAAACAAATAGATTTAAGTTTTGATAAAAGTAGTTATAGAAATAGAAGAGGGCTTATCAACGGTTTTGGTACGGTAATTAAGGGAATAACCGGTAACTTAGATAATAACGATGGCGAAAAATTTTCAAAAATATTAGCAGACATACAGCATGATAGCTCAAATATCAAATCGCAAGTAAAACTACAGTATTCAATTAATCATAAAATAATAAAAAAATTTTATGACACTCTTCAAGATGTCCAACACAATGAAAATACTTTAAAAGATAAAATTATTCAATTAAATAAATTTGTAAATGAACAAATACAAAATCAAATTTTTATCTTGTTTGCACAAGATTTGCATAACCAAATTTTACTAGTATATACCACTATACTAAATATTTTAAAAGACGTGGAAACTTCATTAACATTTTGCAAATTAAAAGTTTTACACCCTAGTATTTTAACAGGTAGAGATCTTTTTGCTGAAATACAAAAAATTGAAAACAATTATAAAAAGCAACTTCCGATAGAAGTAAAATAAGAAAATATTTTGGAGTTCGAGGATATTGTAGAAGTTAATTGTAGAACAGAACCTGGTAGAATTACATTTTTCCTTTCCCTTCCCATATTATTCCTATTCCAACTTTGTTCGAAAATAAATTTGTCACTATTATCCCAAAAGCTAAATACGTATGTAAGAAAGGTATAAAATATCAATGCGCTGTCTACAAACCAACACATCACTTGTGAAGAAAATATTGTCCTTCGGGAAAGCATTAACTTCTGCTCCTATATCAAACTGGAAATAACAGAAAATCATTTGGAAACAATCCCAGAAATAAACCAATACCTGGCAGTTTTTCCCTTTAATGAAAAAATAAGTTTAAGATGTCAAAAAGAAAACCAAGTCAAATCATTAACCGGAGACTACCTTATAGAACAAGGAAATTGTAAAATCAACTTCAGAGGTAAAGAACTATTATTTGAAGAAACCTCTTTTGGCAGCCCCACTTTACTTAATAACATCAACCTCGCAATAGAAGAAAAACAGATCCAAAATCTCCAAGTTAAATTGAAAACGCTAAAACTAAAAGAAATCCCAGAAAATGTTTTCACAACTGATCAAAACCAGCATTCAACACTCAATATTGTCACACCTAGCATCATGAAAATAATCCTGTATGTTACGATAGCAATCTACCTCAAAAAAAAAGAAAGAACAATAGAACCAAAGCAGATAATGAAAGAAAAGAAGAAGAAGGAGGAAAAATCAACCCAGTTCCACCCACGAGAGTCAATCTTCCGGGGGGTGCTTCATTTTGAGGAGGGAGGAGTTATAAGGACATCATGCACAACCTCATTTATTTCGCTAACTCAGTTGTCAGCATTTTTACCTTACTAAATTAATCATTATAATTTCTCAGTCTGTAATAAGCTATCATTCAATAAACGTATTTTAATTAAATTATATTTCATTCAGAAACAAAACTTATTGTTAAATAAAAATAAATTGTTTTTAAAAACTCTTTCGGGCACTATCGTAACGTAATTTGTATTCGCACGGCAACTACTCATCAAGTGACGTCATGCGCGGCACGAACCAAAACTCGTCCGCCGGAGCATCCAGCCCTGGTTTCGACTTATAAATATAGAGAAACAAACACAAAAGAGAGGGTCCGAGGATGGCGCAGTGGGTTACAAAGCTACAAAGCTGTGGCACAGCTGCTGTGCAATCTGCGTCTAACGGTACCGGGTTCGTTTCCCGGTCACAGTCCTGGGTGTTGTGATTGTTTATTAAGATAAAAATACATATAATGTGCTGGCTAAATAGGCTGAAAAAGCCTAAAAGCCAATAAAACTTTAAAAAAAAAACACAAAAGAGGGCCCAATAGCCTGTTAGAAGTGGGAAACATAATTACGGTGGCTCCAGTGGCTACCGGAAGAACCAGCTTGAACCGCGGTACATTCAAATTTAAATAGCTTAAATGATTGTTGTTTTCTCTGGTAACAATGTGAAATAACCTTACTTTTTACTGTTGTATATAACTTGTGTTTAGTCTCTGGTTGTATTTATGCTGCCGTTATCGAAAAACAAAATTTCTTGTTGTGTTTGACTGCCGTGTTTGTTATTTCTTGGATTTAATGCTGCTAATTGAAATACATTTCTACGTGCAGACTAATTA